AATTGGCAAATTGACTCTTAGTATTGGGATTTTGTTCTGTAAAACCAATGCAAGCATCATGGCTGAATCCTTCCAAACTAATAAAAGTGCGAACCTGAGACAAGGTGCATATCACTTTACCCTTGGTTGAAGCTGAACTACAGTTAGATATTGTCTGCAACAATCTGAGTTTCTTCCCCTTCTAATCAAATAAATACACATTCGCTCAACAATCATAAACAGCCCCCACATCAAATTGCCACAATTTTCCTAAAATAATATGAAAAACATCCATGTCGAACACATAACATAGGACCTCACATATGTAGTGTTTGCCGATAGAAAAAGTAAGTCTACACATTTCGGTGACTGAAAGGTTCATTCCCTTTTTAAACCAACTTATATTGTATGGGTGCGGATTCTTAGTAGTTTAAATTTGTAAATCTCGTACAACGGCTCGAGAAATAATACTTTTAGTACGCCAGCTATCAATAAGTAATTCGCATACCTTCATGTAGGGGTGTCAATATTTGACACGACCCAAAAACCTGACCCGGAAATTTCAGGTTCAGGTTGACCCGATCCCGAACCGGGTCGAGTTCGTGTTAAGATTTTCGACCCGTTTTAACAATCAGGTCAGGGTTCGAGTTAACCCGAAAACCCGAGATTGACCAGGAATGACCCACATTGCCAGCGCTGATCGAACCTGCCCGCATTGACCACGCCTGACTGAAGCTGCCCAACCTGCTCGCTCGCGTCCCGAAGCCTCGCGTCGTGTCCGGAGGCCAGCGTCGCGTCCCAGACCTGCCCGTCGTGCTGGCCGTTGGCCCTCCTTCCCTCCATCCCTGTGTCCTGCCATCGGTCGCCGGCCCGCTTCTGCTGCCGCCGAACCACTGATGTTGCTGACCTACCATTGTCGTGTCTACGGGTCGGGTCGAGTTTGGGTTGACCCAAATAGTGCCGGGTCAGTTACGAGTTTGACCCGAAGCCGGCCCGTAACCCGAAATAGACACCCCTACTTTCATGTTGATAGTGCATCTTGTCCAGAAAACTACATTCCTTTGTGTGTTTTTGGTTTATCGAGGTGCAAGTAATTTCTCTAAAATGCATACTAGTTGTTCACCTTCATCTCCCACCACATCTTCTGTGAGTGGCTCTTTGCCGACTTCAACAGCTGACTATTCTTACTCACCCCTAGCTTCTAGAAATATTAAATGTTGCTGGTTTGGACACTCATTTGATTTGTGACCAGGGTGAAAGCATTGAAAACACTTGAAGTTGTTGGGTTTTGAATGCAGATTGTCTTTGCTAGGTGCTTTCAATTTATGCAGTTGTTTAGTGCCAACACCGTAGTGTGCTGAACTAATGGGATGAGAGATTTGTTGCTGAAATGGAGGGTCTTAGCTGCAGGAGTAGTTGGTTTGTTGCTTTCAACAAACCGTATGACAAAATTCTAACAAGATGAATGACTCCTTGGTTATCTCTCGGATAGAATTTCAGCCTTCATAGTGAAATTATCAATTGATTAATTTCTTTGCGAGCAATGTTGATATTCCAAGCATAACATTTATATCAAAATTTGTTAGAAAAAAATGACCACATAGTAGTTGTTTCATCCTATGCCAACTCCGGACCTTTCGCTTCCCTTCACGAGAGTGTCTCGTTTGAATTAGTTGATGCCACCACACACTAACTCCCTTTTAAGCCTACAAGCAACGTATTCAACTTATTTTTCTAGTGGGATCTCCATATATTTGAAGAATGTCTGAATAGCACGCTCCCAATCAAAATAATCTTTTCTGCGCATTTGTCCATCAAAGATCGGGATGCCAAGTTTCAATGTGATGATGGTTGTAAGGCTCAGTGACGCCTTGATCTGAAAGGATTGCTCTTGATGTTGAAAATTTCAACCTCCACTTCAGAATCTGTAACTTTCACCATCATCATATGAGTCTTCCGGGCTGCTCATTTCGAGGCATTACCCTTTCTCGTCGTAGTCAACGCAACTCCACGATGCATGGGATGAGCTCCTGATTTAATGGCATAGAATTCTAAGCGCAATTCTTCTAAGAAACACAAGAAATCAGAAGATCAATCTTCTAATTGCCGTAACATATTCAATTGAGTTTCCCCCAGGGCTTCATGGCTTTAATTGTCATCGACAGTCAGTCTTTTACTGCAATCCATCATTCACCACAAGTTCTGAGCTCTGATACCACCAGATAATGTGGTGCCGATGGAAGAAACAGCGCAGGAAAATAAAAACAGAGAAACAAACTTTCATGAAGTAAAAGACCAATAGTATATTGCATGATTCCCCTTTCTGCCATAGTTTCTTCTCTATATAGATACTTCTGAGAATATTGAGTATTACTAAACTAACACTAAAAAAGAAAAAGGTAATTAACAGTCCTTTATAATAGAAAAGGCGAAAAGGTAATAGTGGAGAAAAGCGAAGCAGCAAGGATGTGGAGATAAGTTTGAAAAAGATGCTCTGCATTAGTCATGCAAGTTAATGATTCGCCATTAGTAAACCAATATTCTGCAAGGCTATTTTAGTTCAATTAGTAACCACAAAAATCTAACCAAATGGATTGAATTATGTTTAAATCCATTATGGATCAAGATTTTAAAAGGCTAACAAAAAATTTCACATTAAAGCCTAGTTCTTGTGAACAAAGCATCCCGTTAAAGCATCCTAACTAATTTTTAGATAACCTAGAGTTAATAGAGATGTGCCTACCATGGTAACAAAATTGGATCGATACAACTAGTTAACAAGAGCTTTTGTTAATTCATGTAGAGAATTAATTCATGTAGCTGACACCACATAGTGGCATAAAGGCTTGATGTAGTTGTTGTTGTAGAGATTAAAAGGGGTTGTGTTGGGTCTAAGAAGATCTAAATTTAGCATATAGCTAGAATCATGTATTCCATTTCAGATTTTGGATAACGAGTAGTGCCTCTAAAAACGATTATTGACAGGTGTTGAATTTGGCTGTAAAAGAATTTGATGGTCTACAGCTGGGGGAGGGATCTTGTTGGAACAGGGAAAATGGATTGAAATTCATCAAGAATTCTTAATATCAACTTATATTAGTCCTTATATGTGTTCAGCTTTACGAGAAGAGACTCCATGAAACAAACCTTCTATCCCTTCAACGAGAATGACATACAATGTTTGTAAGTAGTAACATCTCAAGCACTCAGACTCACAAGACGATTTCAACTCCTCGAATAAGAACATAGAAATTGACAAATAAGCAAAAGTGTTGCTGTTGTAAATCAACAAGTTCTCACTCAGTCATACAAGCTAATGTTTTGCCACTACAAAACCAATATCTTGAAAGGTGATTTTTTATTTCAAATAGTAACCACAAGGATCAAACCAAATGGATTGTATTAGATGTGAAACCACAATTGATCAGAATTTTAATGGAGATACTGAAAACTCACCTTAAAAAAAATAAAAAAATAAAAACCCTTAAAGCCTGAAAGTTCTCGAGAACAGAGCATCCTGTTTAAGCATCATAACTAATTCTTAAAGAATCTAGAGTCAATGGAGAATGTGCCTACCATGGTAACAAAACTGGATCAATAGAAATAGTTAACAAGAGCTTTTTTTTGCCTTGCAAATGTCATTGCAATGATATTGTTCATTGCAACTAAGATAAAATTCCTTCTTATAACATTCCAATGCTTCAACAATTGTGAGTTTTCTAATAGGTAATGTAGAATCATCTTATGGAGCACCAAGGACAGGAAGGGAAGAAGGAATATGAAAAAACCCATCTAGGGTTTTAGTCATTGGCAGATGAACTTATCATGCGAATTAAGTGTTGAAAAACTTTTCTTTCAACCAGCTAGTTAAAATAAATAGCATGATCCAAAGATGTCGGACAAAGCATGAGTGCATCACGTGAAATTACACACAAAATCCAAATTCAAAGCATATTTGTGAGAGCAAGTCATCTACTTCTACAGCGTAATTAGATAACTGCTCATACTCGGTCTAATAATCTTGCATGAAGGAAAGTTGAGGAGCTTAGAAAGCTTTCCGTCAAAATCATTATATAGGGAAGGGCGAGGTAGGTAACGCAAGAAGGCTGTTTTAGAGGTAAGTTGATTGATTCTTTCAACCAAAAAAAAACATTCTCCAAGACCTTCCATATCAAAATAAGGGAGTAGCAACTTATATTGATTAAAGAAAATGCCATAAAATGAATCAATTTTATGAATATAAGGTCCAAGATTGCCACCAAAAAACTTCAAAATAAAAATATTTATTGTTTCAGCTGAGCTTGGGGCCAACAATGGAACGAATATTGGTTTTTTTTTTTTATTGTTGTAATCACCTAAATCAAATGATTTATTGGACATGTGCCATTGTTCTTGTCTAAATGCCACGAATGACAACTTGACATTGCTGTCCTTGAGAAAGTTGTCAATAGATTGCAAATGGATATCATATTCAGTGAGCTTTTCCATGTGATCCTCCAACTATCTAGAGACAATTCTGGTTTCTTCGGCCATGGCTACAAAAACTGAACACAAGAGCCAAATGGTAGGCAGTTATTAGGCTTTAGAAAGTAGCAATTCCCAATAGAGAAGAAATAAAATATAGAGAACAATAAATAGGGGAAGAAATAAAAGAAGTAACAACATGAATAAGACAGAAGCAATTGAATTTCATTCCCTGCCCATCAAAAAGAGGCAGTCTATTTATAATGGGTTACAAAAGAATTCCCAGAAGTTTATTGCCGCATACACCCGATACATATATACTTACTAAAGTCATTATCATTCTTGTTGTCCAGTAACTTGTCCCATTGGAAAGGTAATATCATAGCCCAATTGATAAAAAACGTCAACTGCGTCTGTAACATTTTATGATAATTGTAGAGGATTCATAAACTACATAGTCAAAATAATCGTTGAAATGACAAAACATTAATTAAAACTACAGAACAGGCCTAAATTAAATCTACAGAACAGACGTAAATTAAATATACTGAAACAAGTAGGAAAAAGAAGCATTTAGCTTTCCAATCATAAAGACATACTGATAGAAGCATCCAAGAAATAAGAAAACTTGTAGAACTTAAAAGTAACATCAAGCACTAGAACAAAATTATGAGTTCCATAAGCATAACACTTAGTTCATTTTAATAAGTTCCGATCCTATCATTCCACTTCAAAAGAACGAGAATAAGGAAGAGCGATACCCTTCCCAACCGATCCAAACAGCAGACCTAACGATAAGATTTCTGGAATCTTGCACGAGCACCGCGACCACCAAACTTCTTGGGCTCGCAGCGTCTTGGATCGGCAACAAGGAGCGTACGGTCGTACCTGATGAAGATGTCCTTTACCTCCTTTTTGGAGTGCTCGTCAACATACTTCTGGTAGTAAGCAACGAGAGCCTTGGCGATGCTCTGGCGGATGGCGTATATCTGAGAGGTCTTACCACCGCCTCGGACGCGGATCCTCATGTCGACTCCCCGAAATCGTTCAACTCCGGCGAGCAGGATTGGTTCAAAGGCTTTGTAGCGGAGGATCTCCGGCTTCACGAGCTCGATCGGGACGCCATTAATCTTGATCAAACCCTTGCCTGCCTTGCAGTGGGTCACAGCAACAGCCGTCTTTTTTCGGCCGAAGCATTGAACGGAATTTACTCTCGCTTCCGTGGCCATCGTCGTCTACGCCACCGCCGCAGGAAAAAGAGATGGAGAGGAGAAAACCCTAATAAGCGAAACGGAAATCAACGAAACTGCTGTGTTAGGAGATTATACAAGGGAGAGGATGGTGCTTATTATTATTTACTATTTGGAAAATTTACATACATATCATTTTATTTATTTATATATTTAATATTTAAAATATTAATATTATATATTTATCACTTATATACAACTTTAATATCAAATATAGCACTCCTATAATTCATTTCTATCATTCATATCATCCTATAAACTTTAATATTTCATTCCATGCACCCAAAGTTGTTCTATAAATGGTAGGCATGTAATATTAATGGTTTGAATATTATATATATAAATAGCATGAAATAAAGTGGTATATATGTAAATCCCCATTAATATTATTATTTACTAATAGCAAAGCTGCAGGCCTGGGAGAAAAAACTATTTAGTGCGGGCACCAAAAGTAGCTCTACATCTTACATCCGAACTTTAATAAAATCATGATGATCAGAGGAGATGACTCAATGAAAATTAAAAACTTAACACGTACTTTTCCAAATAACAGCGCATCCCGATGATCCGACCCGGATCGGACTCAAAATAATATTTTTTTACTGAAAAGAGACTCGCAGGTTAGTGTCGAAAATTCAAAATTGATGCTTTTCAATTTTCTTTTGTCACATGTGCTATTAATCTTCCTCTGACGCTCATTTGTTTGCTCATCACTATCATTGCAGAAGCCATGCCTTAGGTCCATATTTTATTGCGATGATAGAAATAGTTTTTCCATCGAAATTGTTGGTTATATTTTCCTGTAAAAAATTATGTAAATAAAATATTTAGGTTTAGGGTTTCAAACTTTTAATTGTTATTGTAAAAACATTTTTTCACATATTAATATTATAGAATGTATGTTGGAAAAAGGATTTGTATACTCAGTATCGTTATATACCGAGCAATAGTACACAAGTATACAGAGGTTTCAAATATTGCTAAACCTTTCTAACATATATGTATTAGAGATTCTATGTGGGTTACGAACATAATTTTGTCCATAATATCAATTCAAAGTTTATATTGATTAACTATAAGTACCGATGCTTGGTACCGCTCTATACCTCTCAGTACTATGCTCGGTACGATGCTCAGTACCTTGATAACTCCGTACCGATCGGTACTTTTCGTTAGCGCTCGGAACTTGTTGGTACCAATGCTCGGTACTATTGTGTGTTGTTGCTTGGTACCCCTTTGTATCGACTTTGTCTAACTCTGTCTATTTATTCTCAATAGCAATTTTGTAGGGATATTCTTCAAAAATTCATTTTTGTTGCAGAACTTCAACTTTTAGAGAAGTTTGAAATCATTTAGTCAATACATTTGGCAAAAAATTTATTGATGGACTAAGACAACAGCACATTATTCAATTCATGGTTATGCCTTCATTCCATTTGAATGTCCCCCTCATGTATATGCTGCTGATGAAGTGGGATATTCGAAAGTAGTGTTTCATCATCAAAGAATGGAAGTTACAATTTACTATAGATGGGTAATACTTGGACTACCCAACATAGGTGCTAAATTTTTGCTGGGAAGTTCCCAAATAAGTGGGAAAACTGCTAATGATATTAGACATGTGATTGAAAGTCTGGACGATTCTATTCCACTTAACGATCTTATTAAGAAATTCATTATTATCTTACTGTCAAACCTTTTCTTTCCCCAAGCTAACTTCCAAACACCTATTAGAATCCTAAGTGTTGCTGGGAATATAGATCAATTTTTAACTTACAACTAGCCAGCATCCATTAGGGATTTCTTTATGGCGGAATTCAATATTATTAGCAGGAAGCATTCCAAAGGCATCCCCTACAATATATTAATGGATTTGTAATTATTATAATTGTGAGTAAAGAACTCATGTAGATTAATTTTCTTAATATAAAACCCTAATCAATTTAGTTGGCTAACAACTTTTGTTGAATAATTATAAATTTGGTTTCTAGAGCACACAAGACTCCATGCACCAATGGATGATAAGTCCCGACCTTTTTTTTTGTTGGGATAGCCACATTATATACAACGAGAAAGAGGCGACTGAATTATTTTTTGACCTTGATGATGAGCATATACTTATTGTAGATGCAGTGATATTCATTTGTACAGTGAGCTCACATGACAAAAAATCTTCTGTAGATAGTCCATCATTTCATAGGAGTTATAGAAGAGGAAAGAACATTATTAGATAATTATCCCATTCTTTCTCCATAGAGAACTTCAACTCCACCTCACATGCAACTCCAACTTCAACTCCCTCTTCACCCCAGCCCCCAAAGCTACTGATAGTTTTCAAATCAAATTTATATCGAGATTGATGCATGATTTAATCGGTTATCCCCCCCCCCTCCAAAAAAAAAAAAAAAAAAACTTATATTGTTGTTATTTCAGATGATACTAATCAGCAAAGCCTTGACCAAGGCATCAACAAACTAATCACACAAAATAAGATTCTTGTGAAAAGGCTAGTCAAGGTAGAATCCACATCTTGTCTGCTTCAGAGGTACGTTCAGGTATTCGAATAGTGTATTTTTTAACTAAAGGAGAAAAATAACAAATATGAAGCGATACAAAATTTTTTGGTGGAGAAATTTCTTATTGTACTTAAACCTTATTAGACAGAAAGGCCTACATAATCTTTCTCAATGACCATTACAGCCGATGATATTATTATTCCATCAGCTACCCTAAAAGATGAGGAAGTTATATAGCATAAAGATGTGGCTGAAGCCCATGACAAACTTGATGTGGTTGATGATGAGGAAGAGGCCTTTGTTGCTACAACAAGTAGTAGTATTGCATAACAGGTGCAACTACGAGTTGATAGGAAAAGAAAACTAGTGGAGACCCCATGCACCACCGATCAAAGGAAAGGTAGAATAAACAAAGTGACGACGAAGAAGCCAATGGTACATGAAGAAAAGGAGCCTACTGCTTAGATTTTTGATGTGGATGGTGAAGCAAAAATAAAGGCATGAGGTCAGAGGAAGAAGAGGAAAGGTGGAATGAATAAAGTGACGAAGAAGAGGCCAATGGTACTCGAAGAAAAGGACCCACTACTACCTAGCAATATTGGGCAATACTGCGCGATATTGAGAAGTTTCGAGTGTAATCAAGCATGGTACCGAGCATGTACTAAGAATGGTACCTTGCATGTACCAAGAGGTATCGAGCGATGCCCATCATCATTATTGTATATTAAAAATATTAAACATCATACACATTTTTCTGAATCAATTACTCCCATCAGCACTTTAATATTCAGCTTTTGGTTGGCTTATTGATCAACAGAGAATGTACTCATCTGTCAAGCATTATGGTATATTTGTGAATGTCACCTTACTAACTGGTTCCCCGGTTGTACATTGTTCTGTAGTATGAGTTCTTTGCTATGTAGGTTTCTTTTTTTTTTTACTTTTTGTCCTCTCCTAGTAACCCTTCAATCTTGCATTAGAGATTCCTTTAGGCCTACATTTCACTGGGTCTTTCAAATTTTTATGCCGACCCCAATTGTGTTAACAACAAACTTGTGGTTCTTTTTCTTTCATTTTAGGATAAAGTCTACAATTTCAGCCATGTCAGTTATTGTAGCCAACATATACTTTTCTACATCATCATTTGCCTATGCTCGTGTGCTAATTTGATATGCAAATCTACTAAGATGATTTCTAAATATCATGCAACTATATCCCTCCTGATATGGGCTCACATTCTTTCCCATAGTTGTGACCATCAGTCCAGCATAAATATCTTTCCTAGCTATAACTGACCATCTAAGCAGTAAGTACTTCAAAGGAATTTTAACTATATCTAATTGCCTTATAACTCTCATATAGTGAGAACATAGTAAACCCATCATGTCAAGCTTTCCACAACTGCAATATATGGTACCCTCTATTGCATAAAAATGAACAGTTCAATGGTGTGATTGATCACATTTCTAAATGCTTATGATGAAAAATATGGATAAGTCACTTGAGGCATGATCTATACACATACCACCCACACCATGTATGAACTCTTCTTAAAAAAATATATATAAATTTTTGAAATAAAATCAGGCAGCTTTCTTTAGTATTGGGATACTTTTTGTTAAGGGTAATATCTCAGACTAATTGCATATGAAATCTTCATCCTATTCATTTTGACGTCAAGTCATCATCACCTTTTATATGCCCATAAAATAATATGTTATATAACTAGTTGGCTTGAAAATGATATGACACACATTGTTAATGGACTCATTTTGCTGTGTAGAAAGAATGTCAATGTTAAAATAATTCTTGTTGAATGATGTTGACCAATTATCCCTGATTGTATAAAGCTCTTTCAACCAATCATGGATCTATAGGTCCCCTTTAGTGATCATTTTAACTCAGGTTCTCTTGAAGTCATCCTTAGAATCACACTTGCTTAAACTCCTATAAAAAAAGGTCTCTAACTATGTTATTGCTATTGAAGCACCACACCTTCGAAGGAGCTTTATTACTGATGTGCCATTTGCACAACCTATATCGTGTTTTAGATATTACAATTTTTATCAACCTAGCCAATGCTTGGTCCTAATTAATAAATATCATTATGGGATGTTTATCATCCATTATTTATAAAAATATTCTAAATAACCAAATAAATAAATCAATTGTCTCCTCCAATAAAAAGCCACCCCTAATAGAACATTCTACCAATGATTATTAAGTCCAACAAGTGGTGCATAAGCTAAATTAAATTTGTTAAGCATATAGCTAGTATTAAAAACTATCACATCCCCAAAGCAGTTATAATCTATTCTCCCCAACCCATCAACCCAAAAAATTTCAATAGTCTATCGTCTTCATCAGTTTGGACATCCCATGCAAACATATTGTCATAAACTAGTCATTCTTTAAATAGTTCAATTAGAAAATTCATATCCCCATTCTCAATATTCGGTCTTTTCTCTTTTTGAATGTAGTTATATGCATCACTCTTAGAGAATCTCATATTTGCTACACCTCATGCTACATCGGATAGGTAGGTAAATACATCAACTATTTTTAT